TAAATCTATATGCAAAGTCCTAAAGATAAATCCTAGGCTAGACTCAACACCCGATCATGCATAAACCCACCCAAATATACCCAAGAACATCACAACAACGAGATTCACGATATAAACCCTAGAGACAAGCTCTAGACATAATTAAATACAAAATTACACGTATAATCAATTCACAACATTAAGATCATCAAAAATCATTGAATTTTTTTTCCACCGTTTTTCTCTCTCCTCTATATCCCTGTGGCCCTAACAAAAATCATTGAAAATTTTTGGTAGTTGAGGATATCCTTATGTATATCCTTATAAGTTATTTTACATGTTAATCGCTAACATTAATCGATTAATTTTATCAAATATTGTTTTATAAATCATTGATATAATTCACTGATCAAAATTATTAATACAATTCACTACATAGTTAATCGCTAACCACCTATTGTTAAACAAAGTCAATGAAGGAGATGCATATATACACCAATGCTGATTTTTTTCTCACAAGTAAAATTGTGACAAAAGGAAGGTACAATTATTGTACAATCTCTGAAGTAAGAAGAATTTGAAGAAAAGCAAAGGTGTGTGAATCTATCACTTTCCTATGTGATGCTTTTATCCACAGTTTCCACAGTATTATTGTTCTCGAAGAATATTATATGCGATGCTGATAGTGACTAAGCATGAAAATATTGTGGGCGTTTTCTGTTCATGATATTTCCTCACAATCTTCTACGGAGTATTATTTACCATGGTTAAAAAAATTACTAGGCGTCTTGTATATTTTTTATTTTTTAAAAAAATTTAAAAATTTTTTAAGACTTGATAATTATAAATTATTTAATATTTTAATATTTAATATTAAAATATTAAATATTAATAAAAAAACATAGAATTTGAACAATTTAAGCTTATTTTGTTCAAAATGACACATCGTTTTGAGTGAAATAACCCATTCAAAAAAAAGAAAGAAACAATAGCTAATCGGCTGACTAGGTGGTCAGAGCCTATGCGACTTAGGCGGTGCTTAGGCGGCCTAGTCGGCCAACCGCCTATATCACTGATTATGGTGATACACTAGACGACCGACCAGCACCTAGCCTAGGTAGGGATTAATGATTAATCGGTGCCTATGCGGAATTTTTGCAACACTGTTATTTACAAGTATTTTATACCTTATTTAGTCTACAAGGGTGCAAGATTTATAGAGATATTTTAAAATTCTCGAGAATGATTTAGGTTTTTTTTTTTTTTTTTTTTTTTTTTTAATCACAAACATCCCTCTAAAACACATCTAAAAAGCATTTAGTTCGTGTTATTTTTGAATGCTACTGACTCTATTACATTGTAACAACACTTCCATTGAGGCTCGATCTCATGACTTCCCACATAGGAGAGGTCACTACATGCCATCTGAGCACAAAGTGATTAGCTACTATGTACTTATTTAGTTCTCGAGAATGTAAAATAAAATAATATATAATTTTTGCAAAATTTTGAAGAACGTTGTATTGTGGTAACATTAACAGGGCATTTGGTTGGAGGGATTTTAAATTCCCTTCCCACTTAATTCCCACCTAATTCCAAAGGCCATTAAATTCCGTAGTTTTGTTGGAGGGAATTGCAATTCCCCCATTTTCATGGAATTAAAATCCCATGTCCCCCTCCCCCCCCCCCCCCCCCCCCCCCCCCCCTGGTATTTTAATTCCTGGAAAAAAAAGATAGTGATGAGTCAAAATTACCCCTTCATTTTTTAACCTAAAATTAATGTCTAACAACAATAATGAACATTTTTGACTTTATACTAGTTATTCCCTTTCAATTCCCATGTATACCAAACATTGGAATTGAAATTCCCAGTAATTTTATTCCTGTCAACCAAACACTGGAATTTAAATTCCCATTTTATTCCCAGTAATTCAACTCCCATAGAATTACAATTTCTTTCCCACATAATTCCCCCCTTCCCCCCCCCCCCCCCCCCCCTCCAACCAAACGCCCTGTAAGAGTTAATTCCAGCAATGGTCCGCTTAGTTTGTGGAAAGAATTGATAAGGAATTGAATTTAAATTTAATGGAAAAGAAATTGCTTCAAATAAAAATTTCATTGTGTTGATAAAAAATAAATTGTTGAGAATGATAATATAAAGACTCAAATACCCCTAAATAATAAAGATATAGATGGTAATATAGAAATTTATATTGTATTTTTTTTTCAAAAATGTAACAAAAAAATATATATATATATTTAAGGAGACTATGGTTTCTATGAAATAAATATAGGTGATGGTAATATATGACAAATTATACCATGGACCAAGATTCACATTGTATTATAGAAAATAGTCTAAATAACATTCAGATTATGTGTCAGTTAAAATTTTATGTGCTTACAGTTAACAATTATGTGACTGTAAATAAATTGGAGACACATAATATATTAACTATAAGTACATAATTTATTAACTGAAGGCACATGATATATCAAATACAAATATATAATTTTTGAATTAGGATCTACGATGTAAAGTAAATCCTGATCCATGGTATACTAATTGGTAATATACGTGGAACCAAGAAACGTAATTATATTATTTCTTGGGAAAATGGCACTTTTTCCCCCTGTGTTATATACCTATAGCATTTTTCCCCCCTAAATTATTAAAGTGGCTGTTTTTCCCCCTGAAATGTTAAATGGACATATTTACCCTTAAACTAAATATTTAATTTATTTTTTTCTCCAACAAATTATGACCATAATTTGGTTCAAACCAAACAAACACTATAGCAACCAAACCGAAATATTCCTATTACAATTTAGAATCGAAATTCGATATTTAGAGTTTATTAAAATCGTGAACCGGAACGGACGGTTCATGTTCCGAACTGAAAAAATAAAATACATTTATTGTTGAATTTAGACTATTTTAAAATAAAAAATAAGATTTTAAAATAAAGACGGTTCAAAATCGCGAATCGAATCCGGAACTGCCGGTTCACGGTTAAGATTCAATTTTTTTGATACATAATTTTAATAAATTGACATTTAAATATTGGGTTCTAGATTTGAATTATAACCAAAAACTATTAATTCGATTGCTTTAGTATCCGGTTCAATTCAAACCGATCCGTGGTCATCCCTACGTATACGCAATAATTTGTTGGAGTAGTAAAATAAATAAAATGTTTACTTTAAGGGTATAAATGTCAATTTAATATATCATGGGGAAAAAACACCACTTTTAGAATAATTGAGGAGGCTAATGTGCTTACCTAAATAATTGAGGGGGAAAAAGTGCTATACGTATATAACTCAGGGGCAAAAAGTGCCATTTTCCCTTATTTCTTTGTCTGAAAGAATATTCTTTATTTTCTTGAAATTTTATACTATATTTTACTAAACACTAAACAGCAACACCATGACAGCAAACTTTCTGAGAAAAGCAATGTTCCGCTGGTAATTTGAGCCCACTGTCTCCAATACATTACAGAATAACAAAATCTTGCAGTGTTACAACTAGCAACATTATCCAATTAATTTGTTTTCTTAATTTTAAATAAATTATGATTTACCATGACAAAAAACTTTAGGATAAAGATTATTAAGGAGTAGTCTTTGCTTCATGTGTTTACACACTAAGAATAGAAATCAAAATCATAGTCAGTGACAATTTTTTAAAACATAATTATGGGTTTTGAATTTTAATTACCCATTCAATTAAAAATTTCATTTCCTAATTATAAAGGATTATCGTTCCATCTTATTGGTAATCTAACTTTTAAGTTTGGATTAATACTTTTAGATTTTTGTTTTGATTTTTTTTTTTTTATATTGATACTTTGGATGCCATTATATTAGAATCAATTGTCATGATTTTTTATTTTCGTATTTTTAAAACATTTTTTCCTATTATAAGGTCATACACAACTAAATATCAATATTGATAATCATTCCAGCTCCACCCTCCTACCAAACATGCAAAATACTTTTACCAAAATTTATTACCATTACCAAGTATGTAATTCGCATTCCGATTCCGATTCCATATGCAAACCAAACACACCCTTAAAATCCAATTCATATAAGAACCAATCTAATCTAAACTCTTTATTTTGTAATATTTGATGAATAAGAAATCAAATAAGAAAATGACTCCATCGTTTCACACACACACACACACACACACACACACACACACACACACACACACACACATATATATATATATATATATATATATATATATATATATATATATATAGGTACATAATTAGGCGCAAATCAGTCTTAATCTGTGAACTACTAACAGGGCCTTTGGTTGAATGAAATTTAAATTCTCTTCCCACTTAATTCTCACCTAAATTCAAAGGCCACAAAATTCCCTTGTTTGGTTGAAAGGAATTGCAATTCTCCCATTTTCATGGAATTAAAATCCCATGGGATTTTAATTCCTGGGATTTTAGAAATAAAAAAAGATAATGATGAGTCAAAATTACCACTTCCTTTTTTAACCTAAAATTAATGCCTAACAACAACAATGAACATTTTTGACTTTACTACTTATTCCCTTTCAATTTCCATGTATGCCAAACATTGGAATTGAAATTCCAGTAATTCTATTCCTGTAAACCAAACACTGAAATTTAAATTTTCACTTTATTCCCAGTAATTTATCCCCCATGGAATTGCAATTTCTTTCCCACGTAATTCTCCCTCTCCAACCAAACGCCGTGTAAAGGATTGCATCACAAATTCACAACTATTACAAGATTCCACCGCAATGGTTCCTAGACATGCTTGGAGGACCTTTGCCGTGCATATATATATATATATATATATATATATATATATATATATATATATATATATATTATGTTTGAAATTGGTAACAAATTAAAGTAGCTTTGGTTTTATCCCCTGACATGGCAACACAAAGCTTCCCATGTTACATATACTTGTGGATAAGTTCAAATCTTGTGATTGACTTTTCCCTGCTTTTGATTTTTGAAGAATTGTGTCCATCTACAGTTCTACACTACACTGATGCCAAATGTCAGTATGTCCCATCCTATGATCCTACTCTCTCCAAAATTTAAATTCTTCAGCTTACACTTGTTCTTCCTCACTTCTCCCATTTGCTTTTCTGTTTTCGGAATATCTGCTTAAACTCTGGATGGAAGAGAAATCAATCCGCGTATAATTCATACTTGCTTAAATCGCATTCGCCTCCCAGTGTTCTTGATTTCAGTTGTGATTCTGCCTTGCGTACCCTGCACTCTTGAAAAAGGTACACTCTTTATGCTGTTTTCTCTAGAATTCGTTCCTAAATGCAAATTTTAATAATCAGTTAGCATAGATCATTGATAAGTGTTTGGGGTTATTTGTTGGTTTTGTTTTTACCTTGAAATATGATTATTATGTTATTAGTTTATGTTTCTGCTTACTTATTTTGTGGAGGAATTAGGGTTTCTTGTGAAATTTCTGATGGTGTGGTTAAATACGAATATTTGTTATGGTTTTGTTCAGGTTTCAGCCCTAGTTGTGAATCTATAAGATCGGTGAGAAAATGTTAGTTCTTAACATGAATTCTAAGAGGCAAAGGAGGCCAAATGTTAGATTGTGGGAGGTAGGAGACCTACCTGCAGCTTTTACATGCGGTGTTTCTCAGAGGATTAAGCAAAGAAGGTGGAAAGATGATTCGATAAGAAATAATGAATTGGAGAATAATGGTAACTCTGGTTTTCCTCAGCAGTTTCCCCATGAATTTGGGTTCTTGGAATTTGGCATCCCTGCAGAGGTGCCAGCAGATAACAGTGAAAACAAGAACCCAAATTCTTTGAAATTAGTTCCTGAAATTTCTGATCAGGATGAAATTAGTGGGAGTAAGGCTGCTGAGCTTTGTTTTGGTAGCATTACCAGGAAGTCTAGGCTAATGAAGCGTCGCAGGAGAAGCCCGGATAGCCTTTTTCTCGATCCTTGGGGATCCAAAGTTCATCTGGCGAGAAATATAGGCGAAGATTTCACATTAAAGTGTGGCATCAATGAATCTTCCGGGCACGAAACTACATGGACCAATGAAGACGCTTGTGCGATGGCGATGGAGACTGCGGAACCCAATTCCAGTGTGCAAATGGTGCAGAGTTCAAATGAACATTATTGTGATGAAGCAGAGATCGCGTTTCCCTTATCTACTGGTGAAGGTGACAAGGGAGAAACCCGAGAAGAATATACAACAAACGGCGTTGGGGAATGGCTTGAGGAGATTGGGTTTGGGAAGTATGCTGAGTTGTTTGAAATGCATGAGGTGGATGAAGAAACTTTGCCTTTACTCACTCTTGATGACCTCAAAGAAATGGGAATTTTCGCTGTTGGGGTTCGGCGCAAGTTGCTCAATGCAATCAAAAGGGCAAAGGGAAGGCAATTCCAGATATCTACTTGAGGAACAGATCTAACATCTCTGTAAAGAAATAAACACAGATGGCAACGTTGTAAATATTTTGTCGTCTCGATCAATGTAATATATGGACCATGTATACCGACTTGAATAAGATGTTTGTAACTTTGTCTTTGCGACTTTGCCTCTTGGTAAGAGTTAATCTGTATCTGTCACTCATTCAGCACTAAAAGGAAAAAAGGTATCATGATGCAGAACACGGTTGAACACAACGTTCTGGAAATGCATAAAAGCGAATAAGAACATTGGGAAATTTTGCTTCTTGAGGTAATTCCTATACAATCTTATTGATATTTTACTTGTATCTCTGATTTCTCTTTCTTTCTGATTGAAATCGTATTATTCTTCTTCTTTGTATCTTCGATTCACTGCGATTGAGCTCTTCTTCTTGACCACAATTTTGATTTCGTTAATGAAAGAGGCAACAAATCGGACAGAATTGAACATTGATGGTTCATCTTCAATATTACGATTTTTTCTATCCTGGTTTTTACAGTCAGAGCTTGATTATACTATTAATGATTTGCTAGTGTTTCGACACGTATGAAGATGCATTAGCAATTCGATTTTTTTTTTTTTTTTTTTTTTTGTGTTGTTAGTGCGATGAATTTGCTGTTACAATTATGATTTATTCATGTTCGTGTTTTCAATATTTGAATTTGTGATTTACATTGATTATTATTAACAATGTATGTGATTTCGGTAAATTTGTATTGATGATTTTCTACTTTTATATACTTGATTGTATTGTGTGATTTATTTTCTTATGTTTTTGTATTCTTTTTTTTAATATATATTTTATGTATTATTATTATGATTTATGAACATTAAGCACTACGTTTGTGATTCTGTAACATAGTTGAAGTGAAGTGTATTTGTCAATATTCTTTATGGGTTTTGTCTGGTTATGTTTTGTTATGCCATTATGGCTGAGGTAATTGCCAGCAGAGGATACAATGGGGACATGTTCAAAAGAGACTGTGATATTCAGTCTCGTGCATGTTGCAATCAAGAAAAAGTCAAGAGATTTTTTTCACCGGACCTATAGCATTATTCATAATGGTAAAATAAACTAATTCTGAGTATCTCTAAAGTGTTTTTATTTTAATTCATAAGTTGCAATTGAATCTATTATGTGTGCTATGTTGTTGTTTTATGAACACTTGGTTAAATATTGTGTTTTTAATGCATTATAATTGTGAATCTGAAAAAGAGAATTTGAAAACACAAGGCAGAGTACTAAATTTTAAAAAGATTAAATTGTGTAGTTTTAGTATTAGAATTGTGAACTTCCAGAATGTAATTTGTGTTTCTATGTGAAAACACATAACTGTAGAAGAGAATTTGTGAGGACGTGACTGTGCGTAATAGGCCAACAAGGAAGTTTAAGAACATCCCCTGTATCTATGGTCACCTTATTGGACTGAACACGCAACATACCTGCACAATGCTACTGTCAGAGAGAAGATCATACCAAATTATGCATTCATGGAGGAAACTGAGGAACACCCAAAAAGGTATGTTGACTCTAAATATTTAGTAAATTTTTTATTTATTCAACATGTATTAAGTAAATTCTTTTTATAAATCCTTTTTTTGTTTTTTGGGGGTTGTAGTGAGATCCTATTTAGCCACAAAGACTACTTTGCTACAACAGAACAATTCGCTACACTTAGCGGGGGTGAAGTAGAAAACATATTCTTGGACATATGGTCATGGAGTGGGATCCTATTTAGCCACAAAGTTATCCTTCAACTGAAGCAATATAGTATTTCCTGTCTCTCAGCCAAGCTAGTGTGGAATCATTTTGCCCTCTCTTGATAAAATCTGTGGACAACATTGGAGGTGCATATCCATATAGAGCTTGGAAAGGTGAGATTTTTAGTCTTGTATGAAAGTTGGTATTGTACCAAAATTCTGCAAAAGCCAGTAACCATTTCCCCCACTGTTTTGGATTCTGAAACACCATGCACCTTAACTAAGTTTTCACACACTTGTTTGCTCTTTTTGTTTGACCCCATCAGATTGTGGATGATAGGAGGTTGACATACTCAATTTAGTGCACATAAGTTTGAAAATCCCCTTCCAAAATTTACTAACGAAAATTTTATCTTTGCCTGATGCAATATCCTAAGAGGCTAAGATATACCATGAAACCTGTAAACCTCTTTCATTAATAGTTCTGCTATAGATTCAGCTGTGTATGGATGGGATATAGCAATGAAGTGACTATAGTTGGTAAGTCTGTCCGCAGTAGTCAAGACTTCATACACTCTCCTCCTTGCAAATGTCAAATTCCTATATAAACTCCTTGATTAGTTGATTTCCTTCTTCATACCAGGCCAATAAATCAAACTTTTGAACCTCATATAAGTATCACGCTGCCCTGAGTGCCCCCCTACAACTGAGTTATGCAATTCTCCCATTAGTTTTCTCCTTATCTCACCTGTCTGTCAATGTAGATCCTGTTTTTATACCTCAAGATCCCATTCTGAACAGTCATACTGTTAGAGAAAAGAACAAGGAGGTATTTTGATTGACTAGAAACTAAAGAAAAGAAACAGGAAGTCACAAGAGTTTTAGGCTCTTGCCTAGCTACTAAAGCTTAAAGACTAAGGAAGATTATTGGATGCCCTCCTCTCTTCAGGAGGTTACAATTTATAATGCAATGCAAAAAATAAATATAGTAAAGGGAGAGAATTGAGAAGTTGATTTATTTCTGTCAGATTGCATGATTTAAGCTTGTCCCTTGATCAGTGTGTTGATTGTTTGATTTGCCTGATTTGCTGTCCAAATTTCTTACTTTCCAATCTTGTGTTGATTCCCTTTTTTTTTTTTGCGTGAGTAAACCACCCATTCCCTTGGGTGTGTATCACATACCAGTCTGATTTGAGGGGTGAATAAGATAAGTAGCTAAGTATTATTCTTAACAAAAAGTTGATAACTAATTTCCTATCTCATCGTGTTGTCCTGACTTTTAACAAATTTTACTATTTGAGCTTTATTTGTTAATTAAAGCAGTAGTAGACCTTAGCTCTTGTTCTTCTTCCTTCATTCCTTCTTCATGGATTTCCTGAACTTATTATCTCTGTTTCTTGATCAAAATAAAATTACAAAATTTCATACAAAAATAGGGGTCTAAATTTTTATCCTAAAATTATAATTTAGTTCATCAAAATCTAATTACACTTTATTTCTAACAATTTTCCTCTTTTTGATGTCAAAATTTATAGTCAGTTAGTTGGCTTAGTCATAAAAGATTTGACTAGTCTTAGATGAGTTTAACAAAATATATATGACTTATAAGAATTGTTTTTAGACAAATTCCTAACCGCATTTTTGAGACCAATATTGATTAATTCAAATGAAAATTCTCAGGCATGCGATTGATACAAACAAAGTCTAAAAACATTTCATAAGACAATATAGGATCATAAACTGAATCAAAATCATAATATCAACAGCATAGTTAATTATTACAGAACCGTCCGACAGTAAGGAAATAAAACATATTACTAGAAAGATATCATTATCTTGATTTTTCTCTGAGCTAGTCGTTGATATGATCCTTGAGCTTTTTGAAATCTTCCACATATTCATCAACAAAATATTCATTAGAAATTTGACCTGTACTGTAGTAACTAAAGTCTTGTATAATATTATCTCCTGATAGTACTCTGCTAAAAACTACTTAATGCATTCTTCAAAGGATCTTCCTTCTTCCAAGAACTCTCCTTTGTGACATTCATAATGTTCTAGTGCATTTATTATGTGAACATGTGGATTTGCTGAACTTCTATCATTTCCTTTTTCCTTCAACTCCTTGTTCTTTTGTGCAACCCATAATCTCTGATCTCCTTCCGATTGTTTCTTTATGATAGCGGAGACATTCTTCATGGTATATAGTGTTATTCTATCGTTAGCAAAGTATTGTATTGCCCCAAATCTTGTTTTGGGATGATTTGCTGGATATCCAAAATGACTTTTCCTTTTTCTCTCCCTCTGCCACTATTGTTGTCCATAATAGTAGAGGAACCGAGAGCCAAATGACTGCTCTCTTCCCCCTTTTTGGCATAATCAAGCAATTTTTTAATATTATCATCAATTTTATCTACTTTGGCAATGTGTTTACTCTTAAAGACAGATAACTCGTTATGTAAATCAGAGATTTTATTTTCTTGTTGGTGAATTATCTTTATTATACTTGTGCACTGAGTTACTGTGAAACTGTTATCATTGTGTCTCTCAACTTTAATTTTCTTAGACAATGCTGAAAATTTTTCATCCCAATTCTTTTCTTTCTTCTGATTGTACTTTTGCATTACTTTGTTTAAGTTTTTTCTGATGATTACTTAAACTTCTCATCTGCTTGTAGATATCTTCATAGATATGTCTGTCAAGATCTCCTCTAATTTCCATTGCATTGGCAATTTTTGTGTATAAGTTTTCTTGACACTCATTAACCTTGATAAATAAACTGCTCCGCAAATTTTTCTTCATCTTCAACCATATTTTTTGTCGGATTCTTCTTCAACTGCTTTAGTTGCGTAGTCACTTTCTTTCTGGTGAATGGGAACTGTGGTCAACTGCAATCCTTCTTCTTTAGTTGGCATTGTCATCTCTTCATCTCCATAATGGTTAGTTTCACTTAAATTAGATGGTTCAGTCGTGATAATCTTCTTATTACTAATTTCAGACTTGCTTCTTCCTCATCAAATACAAAATCTTGCAAGTGTTCTTCATCAATCACCAGTGTATCAACAAGATTTTCAAGTAAAATATCATTAGCATATTCTAAGGTGGTAGGAGGATATTAGTAACAATATCCATAGCAATTTAATTTTGTGGTGAGTGAGCCGTGATCTTCACTTCTTTTGATCTTGCACTCGGAACATCATAAGTAAATGTAACATTTGTTTTCACTAAATTTTGATCAATATCAACTGCTGGCCTTTCACAAATTTGTTCTGTTAGAACTGTTACTGAATCTAGAATCTTTTTAGTAATAGGTAAATTAGGAACCGTGACTGGTTCCTCAATCTCAGCTACATTTTCCTTGTCTGCATCCGTGACTTGGGGCCTCAACTGGAATCGCATTTGTTATACAAATCTCAACTGGAACTTTAACTGTGACCGTGGATTGAACCTGCTATGAACTCGTGACTGGTTCCTCATTCAAAACAAAATTTTTCTCTCATTTCCGTCACACGGCTTTTCCCTGACTTATAGGATTTTCAACACTTTAAATGTTAGAAGCTTTTCCTGGATGATGGTGAAAGTCCACAAGAGATCTTTGTAATCGTTTTTGCAAGTTTACTTGATCTATCGCTTTCAAATCTTTAGCAGATAATGCATGAAAACTTTCCCCCATGACTAGCAGTTTTTCTTTGGATCCTGCCAACTTAACTTGTACTTTGCTAGAAAAGATCTCTTCAATGTTAGACATCTGAATAGTAGTAGTTATATCACTTGTTGCCAAGCAAGAGCAAATATTTCTTCCCTCTCAATCTTAGGTCCCGCTCTGGAAATGTGTTTCTAATCTCCACTTCCTCCATTCTTTCGCCCTTACTAATTCAGTGGCAAGAATTGGATCTTCATCAACAAATGATTCCTTTCCTTCTTCTAGAATATTTGCTTCAAGTTGTGAGTCTAGTTCTTCAATTTGCAGTGGAGATACAAGGTTTTCAACATTAGTAAAGACAGTTCCGGTTGGCAGTAATGGTGGTACGATTGATAGTATCTTCCAATTCGCATTACAGGCACAATGGTAACTACATTTAAATTTGAAGTTACTGTTCCATTATTTGCAAACTCAACAATCACCAAGGGTGCGTCATGTGATCCAAGTCCCTTAAAAATTCTAGAAGTTCTCCCTACTGGCGTACCTTTTTTCTTTTTAGGAGTATTAGATCCCATAGTTTCTCTACTGGTGGAAGTCTTAGTAGGTTTCCTTCTTAGGGTTTTTGGATTCCTAAACAAAAATTTGAAGCTGGCAACATTTTTTTGTTTCCTTAGTGGTACTCTTTTCTTCTTTAAAATCTCACAAATAACAAATCCAATACTCACATATTGTTTAAATTTGTTATTCTTTAGAGGTACATCAGAACGACAATATTCTGCAACATCTCTCATGTGAAGATTAAGAAAGATTTTGCCAGCTTGGAATCAGAGCTAAGGAAACAAAAGAATGTTGCCAGTTTCAAATATTTATTTAGAAACTTAAAAACCCTGAGAAGAAGAAAACCTACTGAGACTTTCACCAATAAAGAAACTATGGGTTCTGATGTTCCTAAAAAGAAAAGAGGTAGGCCATTAGGGAGAACTTCTAGAATTCTTGAAAGAAACCCTTGGTGATTGTCTGCAAATGATGGGGCAGTAACTTCAAATTTAAATGTAATTGCCTTTGTGCTGGTAATGCTAATTGGAAGATACTATCAACCATACCACCATCACAACCGGAACTGTCTTTACTAATGTTGAAAACCTTGTATCTCCATTGCAAATTGAAGGACTGGACTCACAACTTGAAGCAAATATTCTAGAAGAAGGAAGTGAATCATTTGTTGATGAAGATCCAATTTTTGCCACTGAATTAGTAAGGGTGAAAGAATGGAGGAAGTGGAGATTAGAAGAATATCAATCTCAAATTTTCAAAGATGGACCTAAGATTGAAAAGGAAAAAATATTTGTTCCTGCTTAGCTGGAAACAAGTGATATAGCTATTGCTATCCAGATGTCTACCATTGAAAATGTTTATTCTAGCAAAGTACAAGCTAAGCTGGCTGGATCCAAAGAAAAATTGTCAGTCATGGACAAAAATATTCATGCATTTGTGAAGATTTGGAAGAGATAGATAAAGCAAACTTGCAAGAAGGATTACAAAGATCTCTTGTCGACATTCACTATCATCCAGGAGAAGCTTCTAACATTCAAGGT